AGAACAATGTTGCGTTTAAAGAATATTTATAAACACATTTTGACACATAACATTCATGCGTAACGTACAAGCAAAAAACGAATCTGGAATAATTTTCATATTTCTTAGAGTGTCAAGCGATGCGAAAGAATATTGTTCGTTATTTGTTATTTGATACAACATCTAAATCATCATCAAATACAATAGGATATACCAAGAAATCATTTATTTTTTTGTGTTTGTAGAGATTTTGATGTTTTAATTTTTAGTAAAAGTTAGTAATTGATTTACAAATGCTTTTGCAATAAGGATTAATATTAAATTCTGAATATCCTTTCAAAATTAATATTAACTAGTAAATTTGAATATGGAAAGACCTATAGAATAAAAACTGGCTGTATAAAGATATTCATAGTGTTTTCCAATGTATTCTTTATTTATGATCTTCGTAATTTCCAACTTACAAACACGTTGATTGATTAATTATTGAAATATTAGATTATGTGTTTTATTCTATTGATAGTATTACTATGTATTCATGAGAACAAAAGATCATACTACATTTCAAACTATGAATACAAAGTTTACTTTGTTTCAACAATTGAAAAAAAGATGAAAAAGTCATTTTATATAATAATTAATTACTGGTATCCATTAAGACATGAAAATCAGACTGATTCATTCGTTTAGTGTTTCATATAACGTGAGGGTGAAGCTCATCTGAAAATCAGGTTGGCTCTTCCAGTGTTCTAAGACGCCCTTCGGGAAAAAAAATCTGAATAAAATATTGATACAATTATCTTTAATAATAATGTTATTATCAAACTTAATAGTGCAAATTATAATCATAATCCGAAATTACCAGAACAAGTTCAAATGATATTTTTCGGATTGAAACGTCAAATATTAACTGATGTCAATCAATCTGTAACAAAAATTTATGAAGAAAATTGTTTTGTCAAAATATGTTGTTTACAATAAAAACTGTTGATGGCTTGATAACTAAAAAGTGTTCGCAATTTCGAAACGCATTAAAAAAAAGAGATTAAAGTAGATTTCTGCATTGTAAACTGCGAACACTTTTCTGTTAATTGGCTTAATTTTTGTTCTCAATCAAAATATAGTCTCTGTTGACATAATATAAAGAGTAAAACAAAACTCCAAAAATTAATTTATTCTTTTCTCTTTAAAATCTGAATCCTAATATAAAAAAAAAGCATAGATGCAGATAGTAAAAAATACTTGCTCGTTTTTTTTTTTGTAATATAAATCAAAGCACACAACGTTATCGATAGATCATGTTCGTTACATATGCAAAGAACAACACAAAAAAGATATTGTTAATATATGTCACTGACATGTGAATACATATTGTTTTTTTTTCTCATTATTGAGTTGTTTGCTATTAAGTTGTACATCAATTTTAATATGAAATGTTTTAATCATTCGTTGTGAACTTAAACAAACAATGAAAAGTAATCAATACAAATATTATTTTGAGAAATCATGTATGAACTAAATTAAAAGAATTGAATTCATATATCATAATAATTTCGAACAAAATGAGATGTAAATATTGAGCATTTGACATGTAATTTGTGAAATAGGGATACATCTAGAATGAACTCATCAAAATAAAATAATAATTATTAATTTTTAATAAATTCATTGAATATAACGTTGAGTTTTACAAATATATTCTTTGAGTAATGTATAAATTTTCGATGAAGAACTATGTTTCGTAATGCCAAGCAGAAAATTAAAAATAGCCAGTACTAAGAAAAATATAGAAATTGAATAAACATATGATGAAGTTCAGTTCAATGTATTTTTTTTTCTTTTGTTTTCTATAGAATTAAGGTAAAACCTCTTGTACCTGGTAATTCATGAATATTAATTCAAATAAACTTCTTTCATGAGTATATTTCATATTCTCTGATTACTTCTTTTCAGTAAATCTAGTAAGCACTTTTGCAAGGCAATAGAAACTTTGGGAAAAAAAAATCTTTCTCAAAAGATTCGAATATATTGTTTTCTCAAATAACACTTATCTGAATAAAAACTGGTTATTTGTTGAAAAACCTTGTTCTAAGATTTTTTTTCTTATTACTTTCTAATACACGATGTGAAAAATTGATTCAGTAAAAAGAAAACCATGACCAACTAAGAATTGATATTAAACTTAGTCAATGTTTAGCAACTATTTTTGAACCCTAATAAAAAGATTACTTTTTTTTAAAGAAATCTAACGTGATAAAATAACATCCACTCAAAGTACAACAAATTTTTGAATCGTTACACATCTAATAATATAATCAATTTCATATTAATGATTTACTAGGGATCTGAAAAATCGCTTTTTTTAGTCCCGGTCCTCGGTCAAACTTTTTTCCAGTCTCGGTCCCGGTTCCGGTCTTTGACAATGGCTTCATTTCTAAAATCGAGCAACTTTTTTTTACGATCTGTGTACTTTTATGAATACATCAAATTGACATGAATGAATTTGATTCGTTAACAATACGAGAATTCTTTTATATCCAGTGTTAAAATGAAAGAATTCCACTGAAAGCTCGAAGAAATAAAAATAACCATTGAATTTTGTTAAAAATTCTCAGGTACTTCGTAGCAGTCATTTACTTATTTCTCTCTTCTTTTATATCTACTGCTCTACCTAATGGATTTATTATCGATTT